GTTGGGGCGTAATTAGCAGCGTTGCACGATGTGACTGAGCGGGTGGCCGGCCGGCGGCGCTACTCTATCGCGACAGCCAGCGCGAGCGAACGCCACGCGCCCCGTGATTTATGGCTGACAGCTGGCTGGCTCATTGTGAAGAGTCATACTAGGGTGGCAACTTCTCCGTCTCCCGTGATGGCCGGGCAGATGTGGAGCAGTCGAAAACAGGAAATTGCGGTGTCCTCGGTGCGTGGTTATGAGCAATGCTTAGTGATGCTATGTGTGTGATGCTAGTGATGCTATGAGCAGAGCTTAGTAAAGCGATGAGCATGAGCGATGTGAAGCGCCCTTCCTCTTCTCCGGCTCTGCTTTAAACGACGATGGGTTAAACGTCTTAATGTAGCCGTCCGCATGCGTATACACAGCATCATCGCTTCAGCTACAGCTGCACCATGAGAGCAGCTGACTTCCCGACCTTTCGCCCCGCCAGGGAAGCGTAGTTATCTGTCCGACAACATCAGCTTCGTTTTGGAATTGAGAATGAATGATGAACCCGAAGCCGACCATCCAACAAAGTGGGTTGGAACTAGTCTCAAGACATTTATAAAAGAATCTGTCAAGGGAAACGTTTGTCCTTATAGCTTAAGTTAATGTTCCTAAATTACTTTTCGATCGCGAACCAGCTACTTAATTTGCCAGACATCAACTTTTGGGATATGTTATGTCATGGTATTGAGTCACAGCCACTAACTTAATCGAATTTCACCCAATTTCATGCAGCTTGATTTAAAGTCGTCCGTTACCATCCATCAGAACAAAAGACTTTGACGTGCGTAGCGACATCATAAGACATTATCACATCCTGAGCGTCCGTGTTCTTTGCTTCCGTCATATGTGCGTTTTGTTATACATGCGTCATGCCAATCATGCGTTCGTTATATCTGTTGACTTCACGGGTTTCTGGAGACATGACACTGCACTGACGCTGGCGCTAGCAGTGGCATAAGCACGAGGCTGCAGGAGTCTAGTAGACATTTTAATCTACTCGACACTTGCCGCCAGTTGCCTCACCGTGTATGGCATCTCCTCAGACGCGAGACACAATGCATGGTAATTGCAACTGTACCAGGCTGCTAGTTGCTGTACAACCACCAAGACAACTTGTGTCACGCGGAACTAACAAAACGACAACAGATGCGGGCGTTATCAGTCGGTATCATTTGTTTATAAGTTTTAACCCTGCTTTGAGTCGGTTTATTACACCGCGCAATAACATACACGTATACGATAACGCTTTACTACACTAAGTACACACGTAAGGCTACACCTCCTGTTTTGAAATGCTTCGCCTATGCGTGGTATCATCGTTATGGGCCGTTATATGTGGTTTAGGTGAAATGATTTGGTGTTATTGAATGAAATGGTGTATTTAAATTATATGCCCGGTTTTAGATGGCTATGGGTTTCTAATCAAGATTCGATTAATATAAAAATGATATCAGCATTGATGGGCCCTTAAGCCCGTCTAGTCAACTTCGGCCAATTCAGCCAAACAAGCCCGTCATTCATTGTCATCCATTTTCACCAGTTATTAAGATCCGGCAGGTCTAGAAATGTTTGGCGAGCCTATAACTTGGTGTTGGCTCCACTAGCGTCAGCATTAAAGTGACTGAAGCAATCAGCCTTCATCGAAAAAAGCTGGCGATTCGAAGCAAACCTTACTGATAACGAATCGTGGTGTTTCTTGATCCTATATCTGATCTGAATCGAACTCAACATTGTGTGAAGGGCTCAATTGTTCAAATCGTAGGATTGCTCGAAACTGATCATTGATCGAACAAGAAGCATGCAAATATAAAACGCAATACAGCTCAAGCTCCAAAAGCGCGTTTTCCGTTTCTGAAGCTGCTTGAACCTGCGACCAGTGGTTGCAAAAATCGGACATTCCAGCAGGCGTGACAGCCAGACTGTACCGGGGCGTCAGGTTCTCCGGCAAGCGATAACTCTCCAACCACTAGATCGAAGTTTCATGCGTCGCTGAATAATTGCGAGTTGCTGCGGGGTTTGTAGTTTTATCTGCCGCGAAATGCCGCGGCGGGCAGTTGGTAGCAGCGAAAACCACACTCCGTCTGTCGGCCGGGTGGATGGCGCTGGCAATTGAGAATTGCCCGGCAAAAAAAAAGCGAATTAAGCCGTCCGCAACCACGTCCGGTGTGCCAATAAAGCACTAACGACTCTCTGACGAGTTGCATGTTTGCCAAGTCCTCCAGAAAATGTTCGCCTAACGGCTGAGTTCCGCACCGCTGGCTGAAGCCCAGACAATACGCGCGCGGTCTCCCCGCCGCTGCCCCTCTCAGGCATTTTCAACCTCCCTGCACGACGTCTGCCGTGGTGCTCATGCACGGCAGCTTCAGACAGCGGTATCCGACCGGAGACAGCATCAGACAGCGGCAGTACAGCGGTACCCGGCCACAGACGGCATCAGATAGCGGCAGTACAGGGATACCCGGCCGCAGACAGCATCAGACAGCAATAGTACATAGGTACCCGGTCGCAGACAGCATCAGGCAGCAGCAGTACAGCGGCACCCGGCCGCAGACAGCATCAGACAGCAGCGGTACAGCGTACCCGGCCGCAGATAGCATCAGACAGCAGCGGTACAGTGGTACCCGGCCGCAGACAGCATCAGACAGCAGCAGTACAGCGGTACCCGGCCGCAGACAGCATCAGACAGCAGCAGTACAGTGGTACCCGGCCGCAGATAGCATCAGATAGCAGCAGTACAGCGGTATCCGGCCGCAGACAGTATCAGGCAGCAGCAGTACAGCGGTACCCGGCCGCAGACAGCATCAGACAGCAGCAGTACAGCGGTATCCGGCCGCAGACGGCATTAGACAGCAGCAGTACAGCGGTACCCGGCCGCAGACAGCATTAGACAGCAGCAGTTCAGCGGTACCCGGCCGCAGACAGCGTCAGACAGCAGCGGTACAGTGGTACCCGGCCGCAGACAGCATCAGACAGCAGCAGTACAGCGGTACCCGGCCGCAGACAGAATCAGACAGCAGCGGTACAGCGGTACCCGGCCGCAGACAGCATCAGGCAGCAGCAGTACAGCGGTACCCGGCCACAAACGGCATCAGACAGCAGCAGTACAGCGGTACCCGACCACAGACAGCATCAGACAGCAGCAGTACAGCGGTACCCGGCCGCAGACAGCAGCAGTACAGCGGTACCCGGCCGCTAACGCTCGCAACGTGCACTTCAGGACTCTGTTGGCCCCGTCATAGCGTGGGCTCTGAGGCGGCGCAGCGTCGTTGTCTATCGCAGGCGGGTGTTCTTGGAGTGGACCCGCCTCGCCATAGTGCAGGGCGTCCATTATCAGAATTAAATCGATTTGGCGGCACTTGGGCAATTTACCGTGGACACCTGTAGTTGCCAGCAATCGGTTCCAGACCATGTCCAGCAATCGGTTCCGACTATGTGGCGCGCTTGTTCGGCATGCATCGGTCGATACGAGCGTGTGCAACCAGCATCAAGAGCCGAACAGAAACTGGGCTTCGTTCTTGCATAATGGAAAAGCATGCCAATCAAAGCAGATGCAAAATCGTAGAAGCCGTCACATTATCGCCAGAAATTGAAACTAACCGAGGCCGCTCCCGGCAAACACAAGCTTGTATGGACCGCGGTGGAAGAGCGGAATGCGCAGTTCCGATCGTCTGATGGTGGCGTGCCCGACGCCCGTAAGGAGAGCGTTTGTTCCGGCGTTACCCTCGCTTCAGGATGATTTTTACGGTGCGGCTCGGCGCCGTCGCCTTCGTTGTGGTTGATGGTGCCATGCACTCAACTATCGGAGCCGCGGCGAGTCGCAGAGTTTCTGAACAAAGGCGGCGTTCGCGTGAGTGGAGCCTCCAGCCAACAGCGCATTTTGCTGCTGCGTCAGGTGTAAAAAGCTTTGAAAAGTCCCTTCCTCTTTTTCATGGATTCCGTTAATTTTCGTACATTTCGCTCAATCTTTGCGGATTGTTTCAGTATCATATGGTTGCACGGGTCAGTAACAGCGCCATGTATAGCCGGCAGCTTAGAGTGCTGCCATATGCCCAGTGTCCGTCCATAACCGGCTGCCAAACTACAGGTAGATGTGTTGCACTTCGTGACATTTATGCCATGTTACCAGCATACCCGAAATCATGTGAGGATGTCAAATGCATGCAGTATGGCTAAGTTAATTGAACTGGTCGAAATACAGAACCCACAAAAATACGGCATGACAATATAATACGGTCCACAAACCAATCAAAGCCATGCTCCTTCAGCAGGTGGTAAGCGACAGAGCCGGCGGCGTCCGGCGGCATCAGTTCTGGCCCATATACGGGCGGCAGGCCCCGTCCTTGCCGCCCTCCTCGTTGCGTCAGCCGGTCCCGGCTCCGTCTTCCCAGCGAGGTCGCGACCTCGCAGACCCTGCGGGCGTTTGGAGCCCGCGTTCCGGCGGTGCAGGGTCGGGGTGTCGACGCCATCGGTCAATACGAGCGCTGCCCGGCAGCGCGTGACGCGTGACCGAGCCCCCTCCCCCTCCCCCCTCTCTGTAGGAGGATCGCACACCGCTTGGAAGGTCGGCTCATCGTGATCGGTGGCGTGTGAGAGTGAAGGAAAAGCCGGATTTGACGTCGTCGTGCTTGGCTTGGTGGCGATTATCACATGACTCGGGTGATTTCTGTCCGTCTCGACCGACATTCTCCCTGTTGGGGAACGCCTGCATGCAAAGACGGCTGATCTTGGAGCTCCCCTTTTACAGAAGAGCATGAACCCAGAAAACACGCAACGCGAACATGCAGAAAGCATGTAGACGCTGCATTGAATGGTGTTGAGTGCAGCCGATGGGCTGAATCATTAATGGAACACCCTCCGTAATTCACAGTACGTGTCATACTTTTACAATAGTTTCTTTGCGATTTGCAGCATCCTTGAAAAGTTAATAACATATCACGTGTACAACTTGCTAATGGCGTGTCCTGTTTCAGCATTCATAAGTACATCAGCATGACCCGCCCGTTCAGCCGCTTCATGACGCGCCAGAAGATCGTCGGCCTGATCGCCGCCGCCTGGCTGTGGAGCATCCTCTACAACCTGACCCCGCAGTTGGGGCTAACACACACAGGTAATGGTTAGCCCGACCCTGAAGGCAGCCTGAGCGACCATGCTGGTGTTGAAAGTCCGTGCGTGGTTTTACATTCAGTTTGCTTTTTAGTCGCCTATTCGCCTTTTCGCCTAACGTTTGTTTTAGGCGTGGGTTTGTATGCACAAAAGAGTTGAAATATGTGAATGATCGCAGCGCAGTTTAAAAAAGTGTTGACGCCGAGCATATCTGTGTTGCTGGCTGCTGGAGGCAAATGTCGAATCAGATATCAGCTTCTTGCTGGATTTGGCGCTACGGTGGAACACAATATTGCCTTATCTAGCGCTGTATGATTGGATGTCAGACCGCGGAGACGCCATTCCAGGCTATCGCTCGCGCCAATTTCCCTCACTTGTGGGGATCAGGCTGTCTCACTTCGTTATGTAGCCTGGGGTTGTTTCCTGCAGCCTGCAACAGCGGCGGGGCCCATTCCTGCTGCAACGCCACGACATAGAACACGTTGGTTTCGGACTGAACTGACTCACCGACAGACAGAGACTACTAATCTGCATCATCTGAATCATGCCGATGAAGCCAGCATGTCACAACACGATCCCTACTCATCCTAGTTAGCTCATTGATAGTCTGGCATGCACGAGGTCGGCGGAGATTTGCCTTCCGCAGCTGTATCCAAAGACAGCAATGGTCTGTTGTGTTTGCATAACAAATAGGTGGGACTGTTTGACCTCGTGCGCAAGTGTTTGACACAGTGTACTTGCAACGGGATCGTCGTGTCCGGCAGTTTACAAGAAAGGCACGACGCAGTGCGGTCCCGAAATTCCACTCAACGTCAAACAGAAGCTCCACAGCGCCATCAACAGCCTCGTCAACTTCTACCTGCCACTGGCCGTCATGATCTTCTGCTACGCCCGGATCTTCCAGGAGATCAGGGCCCACTTGGGCAGGTCAGTTCTGCAGACTTAAAGGTCGAGTGGCAATCGCTTCTACACACACAGGGTATTGTAGGACTTAAAGGTCGAGTGACAGTCGCTTCCACACACACAGCGTATTGTCTCCACATGATGAGCAGTTACTCACCTCGTTGTCACGGCAGGACTGGTGAATGCTCAGTTCGTGGGACTCGACCCCAGGGCTGGTGACCCTGAACCCGATGCTCTTTTGCCTGCCCCGCTTCCGCTCCAGAGGTCTGTCCGCGAATCTTGCTGGATTCTCCCACCGGTCTCGGCTCCTGGTATTCTGCCACATCACACCATCCGCTGCACCTGATCAGATGGAGATCATCTGTTTGAAATGCGCTTTGTCTCGCACATCCAAACAGCGGGCACGACCTTTTACCCCAGAGGGGCGTGTTCCTCGAAGCGTTGGCTCCCGCAGGGTTTCAAAACCAGGGTTTGTGCAATGCGTTCACTAAACCTCGCTGGCCTCCCTCTCACGTCAACCGTTATGGAAAATGCGATGCTTGTTCCAGTTTACTGGTCGGCTTTATTCGAGCCACATGCCATAACAGCAATAGTTCCACCGCTGTTTCCACTAGTGACCGTATGCCTTCAGGCATCTACATACGGCCAGGTCCGTGCAGATAGTCCCTCGACGTATGGAAGAACGCCGGATTTGCGGCCGCATCGCTTATCATTGTCAATTCCTTCATTAACGGTGCCTGACATTGTGCTCCCCTGAGACAACTTATCTGTTTTCCTCGCCTTGTGAATTGCGTCCTTTTGAGATGTCACTCGGAGGCACGCTGAAATGAGATGGTCTGACATTTTTCGAGAAACCGGCTTTACTGCTTCAGAGGCCAGAACGGCATCATAGCGTCGTTTTTTAGCAGGCTTTCATTCAAGGCTGATCCTTAAGGTGAAGCGGGCAATCCCTAAGGCAAAACTGCGCCTCAAATTCCTCCCGATCCCAAAGAAATCCCCTAGCAGAACGAGATGTGATACTGATGCAATGGTAGCCAAAGCCCTAAGATGAACACAATTGGCACGTTAAGGTGGAATGGCGAGAGAAATCATGGTAAAACGTTTTTTCCCGTTTGCGGGCGGGTGAGCCCGAAACACGTGTCTGCAGTGGGAGCGACATAATCGGTCCTGCATGACATAACCCAACTCAAAGGAAATGTTCCGCCTTTCTGTGCTATGTTTAACTGATGTCGACAGGCCGTCGTTCACAGAGAGATTTTCATGACCATTAAGACCTAAATAACTGCTACGTAGGTCCTCATTTAGACCGTGAACGCTCCAGCTCGTGAGCTACAAGGCGACTAGTTCACGATGCATTTCCTGAGCGAAATGTCACACAACATAACGTGAACATGATATCACAAACAGGAGCGACAGAGGCCGGAAAGCGTGCCGCGGGCTGATGGATGGCATACGTGGCGTGGACCTCAACGACCGCGCGCGATCGCAACCTGCATGGAATTATTGCAGCTTGCGCTGCACAAAGCTGACAATCAGCAGGAAGGGGCGACCACCCACAGACTGCGCCCATGTACTATTGTTGACCATATGTGTCAAATAGCACAATTGGACCGAATCTTTTGTTCAGCAGCCTGTTCACATTTCGAGCTCTTTTTACTGAAGTGGATAATAAAAAAACCGTTCTGTCATTTGGTTTCTTTTGCACAAGCTACTGCGCTGTTTACTTTAAGCACTTTGGCAGAGGTCATCGGAAACTTGACATGACCCTGACTGTAGCTGGCTCTTACATAACCTGACCGTCGTCGGGAACTTAAGATGACCCCGACCGTAGCTGACCCTGACCTAAGCGTCATCCGAAATTCGTCATGACCATGACCGTAGCTCACCCTGACCTGGGAAACTTGACATGACCATGACCTTAGCTGACCCTGACCTAAGCGTCATCGGGAATTTGGCGTGACCATGACCGTAGCTCACCCTGACCTGGGAAACTTGACATGACCATGACCTTAGCTGACCCTGACCTAAGCGTCATCGGGAATTTGGCGTGACCATGACCGTAGCTCAACCCTGACCTGGGAACTTGACATGACCATGACCTTAGCTGACCCTGACCTAAGCGTCATCGGGAATTTGGCATGACCATGACCGTAGCTCACCCTGACCTGGGGAACTTGACATGACCATGACCTTAGCTGACCCTGACCTAAGCGTCACCGGGAATTTGGCATGACTATGACCGTAGCTCACCCTGACCTGGGAAACTTGACATGACCATGACCTTAGCTGACCCTGACCTAAGCGTCATCGGGAATTTGGCATGACCATGACCGTAGCTCACCCTGACCTGGGAAACTTGACATGACCATGACTGTAGCTGACCCTGACCTAAGCGTCATCGGGAATTTGGCGTGACCATGACCGTAGCTCACCCTGACCTGGGAAACTTGACATGACCATGACCTTAGCTGACCCTGACCTAAGCGTCATCGGGAATTTGGCATGACCATGACCGTAGCTCACCCTGACCTGGGAAACTTGACATGACCATGACTGTAGCTGACCCTGACCTGACCGTCGTCGGGAACTTGACATGACCATGACTGTAGCTGATCGACTACTTGATCCATTGCTTTCAGTCATTGCTTTGACATTTGAAATGTCAGCAATGACGTCACAGGTCACGCATAGCACCCCTTTTAGATCACACACATGTCCGAGTGACTTAAGAGCCTCCAGACACCCGTGATGTAATCTACACAGCTTCGCAACCAGAGCCTGATGAATGATCGTATTCTTGCATAACCTTGATTTTCAACATTGCACCAAGATATTAGCAAAGTTCGAGGGCCAGCGTCAGGTCAGCGTAAGGGCGCGTCAGTTTTGGCACTAGTCAACCTTATCTAACATGATCATTGTGCTCCCTCGTGGAGATAAGAGCTGGAAATCGTTGTTGTGGGAATATGTCAGTGACATTATTTTTAGTTACGCTTAGCATACCTTTGTCATACCTTTGCCATACCTTAGCGGTATGAGCACATCAAATCGGTTCGGTTCATCACTTTAACAACTTGATCTCAAACTTAATCTCACCTGGCCTCTGATGGTGACCTGATGTTGCCGCCTGTGTTCTGACTGGCCGTGACTGGCAGACAGTCAAACCAATTAATAAACTATGTCCAATGCATCTGAACAATACAGAAAATTGCGAATTTCTGCATGTAGAGCTCACAGTCACCCGACGAGCCCTCATCGTGACGCGATGAATGTCTGAGAATCGGGATCGATGCACGCTCTCAGAACGTGATGTGCCTCGTCCGCGCTTTACAACCTAACAGCTAATTAAGCCCGCTAGCACCGGCAATATCGCTGGGATTGCGTGGGTGAAATCAATGGCGGTCTGGCGGTGCGTCGCCAGCGGCGCGAAAAGCGCGAATGGAACACAAGAGCACTGTCCACAGGCCGGGAAATGACATCTAATCATCGTGCCATTACCGCTAGCGGCACCGTGCAACAAATGGCTCCGTATTAGTGACCATTTGTCGGGCCCCTCACGCAAATGGGGGGCGCAGCCTTGGCGGCACGCGCTGAGTGGCGTGTTTGGAGAACGACCGGAAGCGCCCGTTGAGCTGTTTTGCCAACGCGCGCCTTCGCGAGGAAATGGCCTGCTCTCCGGGAGGAAGGAACGCCGCCAGAGAGCAGCTGTCCTCTCAGGAGCGTGGGCGGTAACGCCACCGGTGGAGAGACGCCCACAGAGGCGCCGCCTTCCAATCTACCTTTGGTGCAACCGTGCTCTTTGGTGGTGCTGAATAAATGACGAGTTGTCGATCAGGTGACGTCCAGGAATGGTACGGTGACTGATTGAAGGCTGTCGTGGCCTCCTTGCTCCGTTTGGAACCGTCTTATGCATCCATAGAAAGAGTGATCATTATGGTTATGGGAGTTCGTAGTCACGCCTTGCTTGATAAATCTTCTCGGGCTTGTCACGTAATCGATTTAAAAGGAGCCTCCGTTGTAGAGAAGGAAACACAACAGCCCAGTCTGTCCCTCACAAATGAATGCCAGCGATCTAAGAGCTATTAAGCTGCTTTGGTTCTTGGTGAGGTTCTGAGTCAGTATGAGTAATGAGCTTACCTAACGGCCAACCGTTTCTAAATTAGATGCATGGGAAATTGCAACACACACTGCTCGCTCTTTTCACATACTTTTTTCGCCAGGAGTTTCCTGTTCCCGCTGTAATATTTGTGAAGGTTCTGGCCTGAACAATGGTCAGTAGGAAGCGGCCGGTATATGGCAGCACTTGCATAATGGCAACCATTCAGTATATGGTGTTTCATCCCGAGACAAAGCGTAAAGGTATGTACCTAGGGCTAGGCGTTCTTCTCCTGTTGGGACTGAAAGCGGTTTTCTTAAACTAAAAAGCTTCTAGTCGTTCCGGGTAAAAGTGGCATCAGAAAACCGCACGATAATTGTGATCAGCGTTAATGAGATCAGATGATATTTGAAATATTCCAGATAGTCCAAAGAAACAAACCGTTTTCATTTATTGATACTCTGCCATGTGAGGTGAGTGTAAGGTTTTGCTTGTCGTGCGAGTGTATGAAGGCGAATTCTTTCATCGCGTGTCCACCACCTACCACGAAGAAGTTATGATTGGTACCGCACATCGTGACTATACGCCTTGTAGTTGTGTGGCGTGAATTGCCACGACCTGTATACAAAGGATACTAAATCTTGGGCGGAACCTTTTCAACCTCAGACACGCTTGCTTTATATGGACGTGCTTTATTATAGCGATCGTGCCTTTCCAATAAAGTTTCGGAACTTTGTGGTGTCCGGAGCAAGTCACAATTGATCGGCCCAGAAAGCAACTTTATTGCCACAGCAGACGCCGAACGATGAAAATGTTGTGGCAACCATGCTGTTCTTTGTTCATCTGACGGCCCGATATACGCCTGACGTATAAAGCACATCCGAAACGTACCGCTCTGAGGTATTGGCCCCTTGTTGTTCCAAGCTTATACCAAACTTGGTAGGCATTTTGCAGCGCTGGGGGCAACGGCAAAAGAAAAAGGTGTAAAGCCCATGAAGATGAAGCAAGCTCCTATGTACCTGTTTGACCCCAAAACGGTTTGCCACCGCACCCAATCTCTTAAGCGTCTTCGAGTTCTCACAAGATGGCAGCGAGGGGTGCCGGTAGTGTAGTGGTTAGCGCGTCTGCGTTGGCTACTGCGCGTCTGGGATACCAGAGGTACGGGGTTCGATTTCCCGCGGTCCCCACCCTTCCTGCCAGGGTGAGAGGCAGGCAACGCCGTATAGCCTCAGCAGCTGAGTGCGTCGTAAAGCCCCAATCACACACACACACACACAAGAGGGCAGCGAGACAGCTTGACGTTAAGGTGTGTCCACTGTATGTCCTTGCCCTGCTACACGCTCCCACACTGACCCTGCTGGGTGTGTATTCTCTCTCGCCCAGCAGCGCGAGCCAACCCCGCCCCCGCCGCCAATGACGCGTCACCGTCGCCGTGTCGTCGGCAGGATGCGCGAGAACTCGAACATGGCGGAGCGGAGCAGCGTGCTGCAGCAGCAGCGGATTGCCGTCACCCTGTTCCTGGTGCTGGCCTGCTTCCTGCTCTGCATCGCCCCGTACATCGTCTACTCCAACGGGCTGGTTATGGCCCGCGACAAGGACGCCGTGCCGCTCATACTCAACCCATAGTGAGTGGTGCCTCCGCTGTCGATGCACCATGCCGCTCATACACAACCCCATAGTGAGTGCCCCCACCGCCGTCAGCATACCGTGCCACTCATACTCAACCCCATAGTGAGTGGCGCCTCTGCCGTCAGCACACCGTACCGCTCATACTCAACCCCATAGTGAGTGGCGCCTCTGCCGTCAGCACACCGTACCGCTCATACTCAACCCCATGGTGAGTGGCCCTCCGCTGTCAGCGTACCGTGCCGCTCATACTCAACCCCATAGTGAGTGGCGCCTCCGCTGTCAGCACACCGTACCGCTCATACTCAACCCCATAGTGAGTGGCGCCTCCGCTGTCAGCACACCGTACCGCTCATACTCAACCCCATAGTGAGTGGCCCTCCGCTGTCAGCATACCGTGCCGCTCATACTCAACCCCATAGTGAGTGGCGCCTCCGCTGTCAGCCGCTCATACTCAACCCCATAGTGAGTGGCGCCTCCGGTGTCAGCATACCGTGCCGCTCCGTGTACCGTGTACCGTGTACCATGTACCGTGTACCATGCCGCTCATACTCAACCCCATAGTGAGTGGCGCCTCCGCCGTCAGCATATCGTGCCGCTCATACTCAGCCCCATAGTGAGTGGCGCCTCCGCCGTCAGCACACCGTGCTGCTCATACTTAACCCCATAGTGAGTGGCGCCTCCGCCGTCAGCATACCGTGCTGCTCATACTTAACCCCATAGTGAGTGGCGCCTCCGCCGTCAGCATACCGCGCCGCTCATACTCAACCCCATAGTGGTGGCGCATCCAGCCCGTCACCATAGCCGCGCGCTCATACTACTCAACCCCATAGTGAGTGGCGCCTCCACCGTCAGCATATCGTGCCGCTCATACTCAGCCCCATAGTGAGTGGCGCCTCCGCCGTCAGCACACCGTGCTGCTCATACTTAACCCCATAGTGAGTGGCGCCTCCGCCGTCAGCATACCGTGCTGCTCATACTTAACCCCATAGTGAGTGGTGCCTCAGCCGTCAGCATACCGTGCTGCTCATACTTAACCCCATAGTGAGTGGCGCCTCAGCCGTCAGCATACCGCGCCGCTCATACTCAACCCCATAGTGAGTGGCGCCTCCGCCGTCAGCATACCGTGCTGCTCATACTTAACCCCATAGTGAGTGGCGCCTCCGCCGTCAGCATACCGCGCCGCTCATACTTAACCCCATAGTGAGTGGCGCATCAGCCGTCAGCATACCGCGCCGCTCATACTCAACCCCATAGTGAGTGGCGCCTCCACCGTCAGCATATCGTGCCGCTCATACTCAGCCCCATAGTGAGTGGCGCCTCCGCCGTCAGCACACCGTGCTGCTCATACTTAACCCCATAGTGAGTGGTGCCTCAGCCGTCAGCATACCGTGCTGCTCATACTTAACCCCATAGTGAGTGGCGCCTCAGCCGTCAGCATACCGCGCCGCTCATACTCAACCCCATAGTGAGTGGCGCCTCCGCCGTCAGCATATCGTGCCGCTCCTACTTAACCCCATAGTGAGTGGCGCCTCAGCCGTCAGCATACCGCGCCCCTCATACTCAACCCCATAGTGAGTGGCGCATCGCAGGCAGAATACCGTGGCGTTCTTACTCAACCACAGGGGCGTGCGCAGGATTTTCAGTCAGGAGAGGGCTCATTTTGATTTGATTTGATTTGATGATTAAAAGAACATTGGAAAACTGTAGCTCTCCGCAGCCGCGTGCAATTTTTTGCTTGCCGCAAACGGTGTCGTGTGCTTTCGATCTTCTTAATTTTCCGTGTCTGCATAGAACTTTTAATTGCCAGCATTCACGTGCACATGAGTGAATGCCACAAGTTTGTTAAGGAGGGTGTGTGCATATGCCCCGGGGTTACCGTGCACATAGGTTCCTGCTCAACCCCGCAGTGAGACATATGACTCTATGTCACTGAACGTCGGCAGACCTAAGGATATATTTAACTTCATTGTAGATTATGTGCCCTGTTGCGAGGCTCCGGTGGTGCGGCGCAGGGAGTCGGCGTTGGGGTGCGGGGAGTCGGGTATTGGGGTGCGGGGAGTCGGATGTTGGGGTGCGGGGAGTCGGGTATTGGGGTGCAGGGAGTCGGGTATTGGGGTGCGGGGAGTCGGGTATTGGGGTGCAGGGAGTCGGCGTTGGGGTGCGGGGAGTCGGGTATCGGGGTGAGGAGATTCGGGTGGCGCGCAGAGCCAGGATTAGGAGGGAGGGGAGCGGACCGCTGAGGCACGGGGCCCGTGCCGGGACCCCGGCCTCGGGGGCAAGGCGTCCCCGGAGCTGCGCCGCGTTCGTGACGGCCGAGGTGGGCGGGTTATCGCCGCCAGCCTGGGCTCAGGCTGCACGACCTCCGCCCGAGCTCGCGTGCTGCTCCGAGACAGTGTCCGCCTGTGGGCAGCTCTGCAGCAGCGGTTGTTGTCTTTGGACACGACCCGGAGGGAAGAAGAGATCGGAAGATAAGACCTGATAAGATCGGAGATGGACCACAGCCGGTGTTGCCGTTTCGAACAACGGAACACAGAGATGGCCTGTTGTTGGTTACTCACGTAGAAACGGCTTGCGTGCCAGTGAATAATCTAAGTCAGGGACGTGGCGTAAATTCTGGAATGTTTTACTATTCGAATATGGTTTGCTTACCATACTGCAATTGACATTTTCTGTTTGTCGCGAATGTCACGGCGAGCAGACGCATTAGTCACGTGGTTCCTTTAATAGTGAAATGCCTTAATGGGCGAAAGTATCAGACTCACGTTGCTCAGTGCAAGCCTCGCGACATGTGGATCAAGGCCCGTGTTGAAAGGGTGACATGTTGCAATGGGGTAGATGAAGTCGGCGGTTTGCACACTCAAGTCTGGTCTTAAAGTTTTCTGACGGTTCTAGCAGCAAAATGTGCCGCACGTGATCCAGCACTGCCCAGCTTAAACATTACAGCACTCATAAGGCTTAACGTTATCAGCAGCTTACCGTGTGACGATAATGTGATTTTTCTGGCTTTCGCCAGGCCCCGATGTGGAGAGACATTCCGGGTAATTCTGCCTGACAGCGACATCTAGCGCCACCAAGCGGAGGGAATCACTTTACAGCGTTTGACGTCAGCGCGAGCCGATGACCGATGAGCCAATAAAAGAATGCACCTAGGATTATACACGGCGCCGCTGAGGGGAGCGCGAGCGTGACAACGGGCTGGTCGGGAGTGGAAGACACCGCGCGCACTGCTGAGCGTTTCGATGGCATCCTAATGGAGTGCCCGGCGGGCCGCTGGCAGGCTCTCTCTCCCTCCCACTCCCTCTCCCTCCCACCGCCCCGTCTGGCAGGCGCGCCGGGACCGCCGGCGGCGATTAGGGGCAGCGCACCGCGGTCCGCGGCGTTCGTGGCGCGGCGCGTCTCCGGCGGCGACCGACAGCGCCTGACATTGCGTGCGTCACGCGCGGGTGCGGGTCCGACCCCGAGGTCCGGCTCCGTCAGAGTCTCTGGTTGGTGCGGCTTTGCATGACGAGCTGTTGACTGCGGGGCAGAGGATGCCCTCTGTCCTGTGTGTGTCTGCACGTGCGAGTCGATGGCTCGCTCGAAGGTTTAATTAGTCGAGTTATAGTATCGAGTGCGGCTGATTTATGGCGCTGGCCGGAGCCAACATCAAATTATCGGAAGTCGAAGTCAGCCAGTTTACTTGAAGTTATAAAACATTTGATCCCATCGTAATTCGAATCGCGTTACTTGTCACCATCTAAGTTTTCACTGAACGCCGTAGTATTTGGCCGCTGCGGTTTTGTTGCCTCGGAAATACACCTTCGCTTAGCTGGTCGATTCTAACACATTTACGGCCATTCGGAAGCTCTCCTTAATTCCCATCCAGTATTTGATGTCCATCTTTTAAAGAACGGAATCAAGTGTGCAAATAAGAAGATCGCACGGAATTTTTACATTTGTGTCATTGCAAATTGCTTTGATGGCATGACGACACTGATAATTTGATGGAGTTTGTGCTAATCCGGCTGCTGCAAGCTAGTCAAGTCTGCTAGTCCAACATTAAGTCCCACTGGTCGGGTTATTTCGGTCCCACCTGCGGCTGGAACTATGGGTGGTTGCTAGGGCCGGAAGCTGCTCGTTTTCCTCGCGGAACATTTTGCCAGCCCTCCTAAGATGCCCGCAGGTTGCGACAAACAAAGGCGCCTTTGTTCTATGTGTCGCGCGCGGCGCCGTCCGCCCGTGCGCTTTCCTTGTAGGCTGTTGTTGACAGAGGAGCAGCAGGTCAGCTGTTTGGGAACTCTTGCTGACCTGTTCAGACGTGTTTGTCTGAGGGCGTTAGCTGTTCGAAAACAGCTAGCTTGTGCTTTGTTTTTCGTAAAATGAACGAAAGATTCTCATTCCAAGCACAGTTTTTGAACCCAGCAAGTCATAAGCACCGGAAATAGGAGTTTACCACCGCTGCATTGGGTCTTGAAGGTTAACTCTGTAGGTCAGGAAGTCCTGATGCTGAAAGCATCACCGTGTGTTTTCTTTCTCGTATGGGGCTTGTGTTGTCTCGTTAGACGGACGCTCGCGGGATTATTACAGGCGGGAGAAGATTTTTGGGAAAACAACCGACAATTGAATGCAATTTGCCCAAAACTTGCTTCAAATTTAACTTAGATTTTACGGAAGACCCGACTCCTTCAATGGGAAGCTTCAGGAGGTACGTGAAGATAGCCTGAGTTGGGATGAATGTAACTGGTCTGGTCGTGGGTAGAACTTTCTTTCCATCAGGGACTCAGGTCCCCCCGCCCTTCCTCTCCCCGTCCGCCCCTTTCCATCGCTAGGGTTCTGTACCTTAACATGGCGCCTATTGGTGTTATTTATAAAGAGTTGACTGAAAACGCCACTTAATCAAGAGCCAATGGTTACATTTTGTTTTGTGTTTTACTATGAACGTAAATTGGCCAAGCAACGAACGTTCGCAGACCATCAATTGCAGAATTCAACCATTGGCTTAGAAAGAACCATT